TGACAAAGAGGCGACGATTGCGTGGCGAGAGATACTGTTGAAGGCGTTTGAAATGTCAGTCTGCAACACAAGGCAGTTGGGCTGCATGTCACAGTAAGCACGCGCGATGTGAATTATTGCTTCTGCTCCTCCTGTCACTACTACTCCGTACTGTAGTGGTAAGAAATATCCGCGCGCTGCTTCACCAATGAGTGTCAGGGCTGCTTTTGCTGCCAGTCGTGTGATGCACTCCCCAATTGCAATTGGACGCGCTCCGCCACCCGGTTTGGTCAGTGCAATTAGCCGCGAGGACGTCAGCAATTCTGCTACTGTATCGGGCAGTTTGCCTGTCAGTACCGTGTTGACCAGCGTGTGTAGGTTGGTGCAGACTGCCGCGTTGGTGATCGCGGTGTCGCGGAGGTGTTCAAACGTCATCCCCGATGGCCCAGCACCCACCTCGTTTTCGCATCGGCTAAGCAGCTTGGCGAAATCCGCGCGAGAGATCGCCAGGCTTGGTTGGGTGTCAGGATTAGGCCATGTCAGCGGGTCGTCACCAGCAGGCGGGTGTTTGCGACGCAGCTCCTCCAAAATGTCCGGCGAGGGCGTGCAGACTGGCGTTGACTCGAGGGCCAGCACCGCGTGGCGCAGGTTTCCGCGCTTTGCTAGGCCCTCAGCCCTATTGATGACGCCGGTCTCATCTGGCTGGTGTCGCGGTGCTGGGGGTGTGTTGACCGCCTCAGAAGCGTCCAGGTACAACTGCTCCCATTCGCCACGCTGGAAGGAGCGAAGTCGAGCCTTGACTTTCGGCCAATCAGGTCGCTTTGGTGAGGTCTGTCGATGTGTCAGGCGCGGGAGGAAGAGTAACAGTTTCCACCCAGCGAGCGAGTCTGGGTTTTATGCGAGGTGGAGGAGAGGTGTCAGCAGTGCGAGCGAAAAAAGGTGGCAGCGATTTGGCGGAAGTCGGCGAGAGAGCAGTGGTTGCCGACTGTCGCAGAGTGGGCCGATGTCCCAGGTCGTGACTGCCGCGAACCTGTCTGTGTGTGTTGCCAGCTCTTCTGGCGAAAAATACCGCCTGTTCTGTAAAGTCGCCATCGCGTCTGATTGGCGCTCGGAATTTCTGACTCGGCTGGGGCGGTTTGTTGGTGCGGCTTGGGAGGAGGTTGGATTCCTGGCCGTGCGATTCCCATCGTCCGGTGCTTGATTCTCCCGTCGGTCCACTGCTCTACTCCCCTGGCCTCGTCCTGAATTTCTCCCTGCAGGCTGTTCCCTTTCCTCCTCGACACTCTCATCGCTAGATGAAGTAGTCTCTGATTCAGGTATAAAAGTAGGATCCGCCAACTCCTCATTAGTATTTCTAACTCCGTTTAGTGTGTTTAAAGCCCGACGCCCCGCTGCTTGATAGCCGTTCTCCGGACCGCCGCCCCGTCCTCCAGCTGCTTGCCTGCCACGTCCGCGTCCCCTCACGCCACGAGATGGTGATTGCCGGAGCTCCCGAGCCATCGCCACCGCGCGTTGCCGCTGTGTCAGTGGTGCGCGAAAAATCTGCGCCTGTACCCGCGCTTGTGGCTGCGTCCATGGCGACGAAACCCCCGTTGCCACCTGTCCTAAAGCCAGCGTCACTGACCGTCGCGGTCCCGCAGCCGCCTCTGCAGGCTCCCCCTGAAACGCAAGCGCTTCCCGTGGCTGTACTTGTTGCCGCTGTTCCTCCGCCTCTTGCAACGGCCCCTGCTGTGTCTGCCGATGCTCTCCCTGCTGCCGACCTTGCCGCTCCGTATGTGGGCGTCGCGCCTGCGGTTGTTGATGGCGGCGTGGCGGCACAATCGGGGGAGTCTGCCACCACGGACGTCCCTGGGCAGGCGGACCTCCCTGCTGACCCTGTTCTGCCAGCTGCGGCAACACCCGTGCTTCCTCCGCCCGTGCTGGCAGGTCCCGCTCCTGCGCCTCCTGTCTCTGCTCCCCCTGCTCCGACTCTGGCCGCTCCTCTTGTGCCGTCTCCCGCCGCTCCCCCTCCTCCGCGTCAGCCGTCTCCTGGCCGCCGGCAGCAGCGGCCTCATTCCCCTGCGCCGCGTGACGAGCGGGCGACGTCGAGGCGGCGTCACGATTCTCCTCGGCGCCGCGGTCCCCCAGGGAGCGGGGCTGCATCCCGCGGCGGGCGTGGTGGCTGGTGGGGTGGCCGCGGTCAAGGTGGCAGCTGGACGTACGATCGGCCGGTGACGATGGCCGATTTGCAGCGGGCTGTTTCTGCTGCTGTGCGCCAGGAGCGGGGCGGGCACGCGAGCCAGTATAGTCCGCCTCTTGTCGCCCCGACCCCTCCCGCGCTTCCTCCTGTTGCGCTCCCTGTTGCTGCGGCTCCGCCGCCGCCGGTTGTAGCTCCGTCTCCCCCAACTCCCTCAGTATCTGCTGCTGGTCTGGCGAGTCATTTGGCGCCACCGTGGGGTCTTTCCGCTGGTGGTGCGCCGTCGTCCCAGGCGTTGGGGGGGTCTCCCCGCATGGCAGAGGTACCTGAGCTGTCTCTGGGGCAGCTGTGGCGCCTCGCGGAGGGCTTGCGGGCCGTGCACCTGATCCAGGCGTACGGCCATGCGGCGCTTGCTCAGGGCCGCTCGCTGGAAGGTCGCCAACGGGACGAGTGTCTTGATGCTGCTGATCGACTCGCCGAGCTGCTGGCGCCCGTGTTGGCTGCGCCCGCGATGGGAGTAATTGCGGGTGTTGGGCAGCTTGGTACTGCTGTCCGCGGTTTACGGCGGATTTTGCACGCAGGAGCTGTAGCCGATGTGATCGGCGCAAGCACGGTGGCGGTGCGGGAGCTGCACCGCTCTCTGACTGGGCTCCTGGCTGTTCTTGATGCTGATCTGTTCTAGTGCATGCCCCCTCGTGCTCCATTGATGTTCTCGTAGCTTTTAGGAAGAAGGTTCTGCCATAGGTGCGCCCCATAGGTATGTGGATGTCAATGTATGCACTCTCTACTTGCCCTTCCACTCCTCAAGTCGAGAAAGAAGGGTCTGAGATGCGTCCTGGAAGCTAGACTTGAGATGTCTACCTAGCTCAGGCCCTGGATGCTAAGAAGATGCTGGGCCGGGCAGGTAAGAAAAGGCTAAGGTAGGCTAAAAAATATCTTTCTCACCCACCCGCCTTACCAAACCCTCCCTCTGACTGACCCCTCATGGCCTGTCTCACATTCCTCTCTGTGCTACTACCCTCTCTTCTTCTCATCAACCTCAAGCTGTGCATATCAGACGTCACTCTGTATCAGTGTCCCCCCTTCCTGTTTTCCATTCCCATCCCCAGTCGCATCACCTGTCCCATCCCATCCCCCGTCCTCTTACCCCATCTTCTTCCCCTTCTCCATGCCCATCCCCCTCTCCATCCTTTCATCTGTCCCCGGGTGTGTATGGTGCAGCCAGTGGCCTGCTCTCTTCATGGGAAACCCATTAGGAGTGTGCATAGATTTCTGGCCCATAAGACCCCCTCACCTGGGTGTACTATTACGGATAACATACGTGCTGCTGAGTGCACTCCTTGCCACGGCTGCAGCAGTGAACCTTCCCTCCAACAGCCATTTCCCTCTCCCGTTCTCCTTCCACCCCCCCTCCACCCCTCCCTCCACCAGCTCCGCACCTGCTTGCCGCACACCCATGGGGCACGCACGCTGTTAGGGAGTGTGCTGACAGAGACAGAGCGAGAAGCTATGGCAGGAGGGGCAGGCGGAGCGGGACAGTTGGTGCATGAGCGGTGGGGACAGGGAAAGAAACAAGCAGATGGATGTCCAAGAGGTGCTGGGCTGTGAGCTGTGCTTGCATTCCCCCACCCACACTCCAACGGGGTGCGGAGGCTGCTGAGGAGCATTCTGGCAGCAGAGTGTGATCTGAGTCAACTTAGAACAATTGAAACGGGCTGGCCTGTGCACTGTGCTTGCATTCCCCTCACCCACACACTGGCGGGGTGCACAGCTTGCTGAGGTGACATGTGAGTTACTCACACGGGGGAGATTTAGTGACAAACCCAATCCAAGCAAATAGGGTTCTGCTCTGTGACCCTTAGTTTACAAAATGTAAGAAACGTATGTGTAAACTAGGTAGTTTTAATGCATTAGCTAGGTTGATCTTGGCAAGTCAGCTTGTGGGGTTTGCTTATAAGCGAACTGGGGCTTTATGTTTGCATAAATAAATATGATTCGTTACTGTATTTTAATTTTGCTTGTAAGCTCCGAAGAGTTCGTGTCAGCCGGTTCGGACTACCTCTACGCCCCGAACCTATTTCGTTTCGTCCCGCACCTTTCGCCAACTTCCGAGCCTCGTTTACCCCGCGGATATCGCCTGGCCCGGCTCGGCTTATTCCTCGTTTTATACATTACAGATTGTAGTATCTGTAGTTGCCTAGTTTGTAAAACCGCACTCATTATAGCCTGTTTCTCCAACTAATCACAACCTGGAGTCAGCATAAGACGAGTCAGGCCACTGTCCGGCCGCTGCCTTAGGGCGTGTGTCCTTCTACACCAAAATGCAAAACTCATACATTTAGTCGAGTTTATACAATTCGAGCCTAAGTCAACCTAGGGTCGACTGTATCGCGGACTGCAACTCGAGTCGGCATTCCACGCTTCACATGAATCACACCGCGGTAGAAAGCTCGAACATCGAGCTCGAACTTTTACAGGGACTGTCGAGCCGCTCCCCTACACCGTAGGTTACCCGGTTCTGGCATCTTGACAGTGCGCCACGTAAGGGTGTGCGATGCCATGCCACGAGGGCTACAGATAGCCCAAGTGTCGAACCTACAACTCACCTCAGAAGCTCACAACGACGAACGCTCAGCTGCTGCGATTCCTCACAATTATCTGGCAAGGCTACCTGCGACTGTTTCTTCTACCGGTATCCGTCGCAATCGGCACCGCTCTTCCAGCACTCGTCGCTGCTTTCACTCTCCGCCAGACCCGGGTCTTCGTGAGGGGAGACCGCTTGGACGCTCGCATCCGATGGTTCCGTCTCATCTCCATCCTCCCGGACGGAAGCTTCATCGAATACATGAGGGTGGATAAACGAGTGTTCACATATTTGGTGAGGCAGTATCAGCGCAGCCGGTTCGCCACGTGGCAAAACCCAGTTTACAATTTCGTGCATCTTGTGATGGCCCTTAGTAAACTGGGGCACGGTTTGCCGTTTCGTGTTATCGGATTGCACTTTGGGTACAGTTACTCATACACCCAAAAATTTTTCGGGCGATTTCTCAAATTCATGGAGACTGTGATTACCCCGAAGTGGGTGTGGTGGCCCGACGAGGAAATGTTTCGCTTGTTCGAAGCAGAGTTCCGAAGCTTCGCAGGCATTCCGGGCGTGGTGGGTGCAATGGACGGCACCTACATCAGGTGTCGTGGATTTGGGCCACATCGTGAAGACTTCCGAAACAGGAAAGGTTGGTACACCATTATTCTACAGCTAATCTGCGATTGCAATGGTTTAATCTGGGATTTCTTCGTCAGTTATCCTGGGAGCGTCAACGACGCACGTGTTTTCCAGAACAGCCCAGTACGAACGCGCATTGAACAAGGCGGCATCAACAACTACGTCCTAGTCGGGGACGCGGCGTACGGCCTGCGCCCTTACATCTACACCCCCTACAGAGCAACTAGCGGCCGCCATCTCCAAGACGAGCAGAGGATTTGGAACCTGCAGCAGTCCCGAGCGCGGATGGTGGTGGAGCAGGTGAATGGCAGGCTGAAGACAAAGTGGAGACTGCTTGACGGGCGCATCGAATGCGACATCTTCCGCGCGCCCCGCTATGTCGCCGCTTGCGTCACTCTTCACAACATCGACTTGGTGCTCGGTGCGCGTCCGCTGATGGAAGAGCCTCGCGAACGCAACAGGTGGTGGCAGCAGGGGCCGGCTGCAACCGCCCCTCACTACTCGCCCGAGCACGAGGGCTTCACGCTGACCCGCCGCAGCTCTCGTCTGGCGGGTTATCTTTACGCCTCTTGGTGTCTGGGTCATCCTGACCAGACTGTACCATCACTCGGGTGAGTTCCATGAACTCCGTGAAGTTTTCACGCATCAAACTACGCATGGTTCCGGCAATGCGTGTCGCTATTTCGTCGCACATTGCGCTGTCAGTGTTGCTCAAACCGCCCACAATTGCCGGCATTCCCCCCTCCGTTCCAATGGCTTCTGCGTCCGCAGCCGCAGGGCGACGCGAGTGGACACCACGGTTCCCGCGCAGCGAATTACCCGCGCGCGCCCCGGCTCCGCTTGAGTTTGGCGGGGATGCTCCTGCCGCATTGGGTGACGCTCGGCGCTCTGTAGTGTTGACGGATGGAGCCGGCTGTGACATTGGCGCAGTCGGCGGAGCTTGAGACACGGGCGCCACCGTTGATGGCGGCGTGGAGATGCGTCTCACACTCTTGGTCGTCCGACCTTGCTCTGCAAAGGCAGAAGCATGAGAGTGTGGGTTAGCGTTAATGGGTCAGAGCAACTTATGAATTATTGGAATGTGTGTCACGGCTGAGATTTATAAAACCAAGTTGCTCTGTAAATGTGTCCTCACTTAAGGCCGGAACGGCTTACCTCTTATCCCGGGAGGTGTTGCCGGAGTGCATATCACATTGGCGCCAGGTAGACTACCTGCAAGGGCGGGTGGAACTGCATTCGCACGGTCGCCAAATATGCGGTCATAAATTTCCCAATATATCGGCAATTTCGGAGGGCAACCTTTGCCCGACGGCTTCAGCAAGAGGTTGTTGATTTTGCGATAATGTGCCTCCATTCTAAACAACTTTGCCTTTACCGCCGAGAACTTGTGGCGGAACTCAGGGTGACGGCGCTTGAGTTCGAGCCACACGGTCACATCGCGGTTCTGTCCCTGCAGCCGTGTCTGCGCGCGCACTTCTTCATCCTTATCATGGCGGGTCCAGGCGAGCTGCATCACCTCCGCGTCATTCCACCCGCGTTTCTCTCCAGGGTTGGCGGGCTCGTCTCCCTCTTCCGTATTGTCATCCGCGATGGTGTCCACCTCTCCCGCGTCGAAATATGCGAGAGAGTCGTCATCGGCGCCCAACGGGGCACTCGGATGCGGCACTTGAGACACAATTGTGTCGAGGTCAATCACTTCAAGACGCCGGCCCGTGGTTGACAGGGCGGCGGTCCTGGGGCGGCGCCAGGACTGCCTGGTTCCGGCAAGCGTAGGCGCACTGACGTTGGGAGTAGACGGTGTTCCTGGGTTCCCGTCACCATCTGCGGTTGAGGGATCCATGGCTACTACGTATGAGGCGTAGTGGTGCTGAAAATGAGGAGTATAGCGGGACGAGAGATGGCGGGTGAAGAATTGTTGTATGAACGGCTGACTGTGGTGCCATTTTGAATGTGAAATGTGATGAACATTCGCGATGTCCTTCTGATGCATGTTCGGGTGACATGGACAGGATGGAATGTGAGGAGAGTGCCGTGGCACGTACACTGCCACGTGTGTGTTTGCGACGTGGGAATCCACGTTCACGATGCCGAACGTGCAAGCGATGCGCCTGCTAGACGTCGCTGATTTCGCAAAATGCACGTGCATGGTCAGGAGGACACACGAGCGTATCTTCGTGCTCGAAATGTTTTACGTGCACGGTCGACCTAGGCTCAGTCTCGTACCACGGTGTCAAAGTAGGGGTAGGACACACGTGGATGTTGCGAACAAACAGGCGAAATTTGCGGATAGGGTTACCAGCAAAAGGGCGACCCTCATTTCCGAGCGTCTACACTCAAGGACACACGCCCTTAGCATCCGCATTCAGGAAGTGAGAGCAACAGTGGAGCGTCAGATTGTGGCTCGATAGCGGCCGCGTCGAAGGGACAGGAGCAGCGACTATCGACGTCGAAAAGGCAACAGTAGGCGGCGATAGCGATGAAAAACGATTTGCGATGGCGGAGAGCCGCGAAAGCAGAGGCGCGAGGAGCAGCAACAATGGCGGGTGAGGGAAGCACGCGCACGCAGGGGGGGCTCCTGGCGGCGGAGACAGCGGCGCCGATGCATGCACCACAGGTTGAAGCGTTGGCGTCAGCGGCGGTCGCGCTCCGCCCGAATCATTTCCTCGCCTCCGTTCCGCCCCCCTTGCCGTTCCCGCTGTGCACGAAAATCTAGTGCAGCCTCCGCGAAAGTTGGCGCGAATTGGTTTGGGGAGCGCAGATGGATGTTGCACTGACGGGCAGCCGCGCAGAGGGGGAAGGGGAGGTGGGGCGGGGAGGGGAGCCGCGGAGAGGGGAAGGGAATACTGGGATGCGGGTGTGTGGCGGAAACATGGGGAAGGGTGGGAGAAGAGGGAGCAAGAGGGGGAGCTGGAGAGTAGAGGAGGGGTGAAGGGGCAGGCTGAAGGGTGGCAATCGGCGGGATGGAAGGGGAGCAAACGCGCGCAAAGGGCTCGAGGGGGGCCGTGAGGGGGCCCGATTGGGGGAACGAGGGGTCCTGAGGTGAAAGTGGCAGGATGGGGCGGGTGCAGGTGACGGCAACAACGTCGGAGAGCATGGGTGTGAGGCGGGGGGAGGAGAGGCAGACACTGGTGGTGCTGGTGAGACAGGCGTAATAGGGTGATTGGTGCCCAAGAGGAGGAGAGGGAGGAGTTGAGGGTGGGAGCATGTGAAGGGGAGGGAAGGAGCGGTAGGAGAAGAGAGAGCAAGAACACAGCGAGGTAAAACGGCAAACTTAGTCGACCACTTGCATCGGCGTGGAGGCATAGCAGCAGGTGAGGAGTTGATCTATAGATCTCAGAATCACCCTGATTTGTCTTCATCTACCCAAAAACACCCTCCAACAAAGGTGCTCTCAGCCGTACATGGCGAAGAGGCAAGAACACCAAACACCCAAATAGCACTGACGATTTCGCCGTGTGTCCCATGTCGAGTCCAGTGTGCCCGGGGTGTTGGGCGGACGCCAGAAGTAGTTGTTGCTGTGGGAAGCGACAGAAGAATCAACCTCAAGCGAGGAAAAAAGGATTGGAATAGTCTGATGGCGTGTCTCGGAAGCGAGAGTGAAACTGGCGTGGCGAGGGCGTGTCATTGCAACTGGCCATGCGGGGGTAGCGCTTGGGGAGGGGGAAGAGCGGAGGGTTTAGGGTTTAGGGTTTAGGGTTAAGGATCAACCTAGGGTTTAGGGTTTAGGGTTTAGAAATTAGGATCAACCTAAACCGCTACATGCCGCTACACGCCGCATACAACGTTCAAAATACCTCTATCCCACCCCTTCCCACCCTGCCCCACACCATCCACCCCTCCCCCCCACTGTCTCACTGGAGGTCTTGATGCCGATCTCATGTCCATCCTATCACCTGTCGCTGCAAGCAACAACCTAAGCTAAAACCATCCCCACCTACCAAACCCTCCACCGCACTTCATCCCAGCACGCAGAGCCGCGGCATGCAGCATTCCCATGGCTGTGGCTCTCTGCAGACCCCGCCCGCCTCGCCAAGGTGAGGTGGGCAAAGTGTGTACAGGCTGAGGTGCATTGGGGGTAATGCACACTCACTACATCTTCATGGGCGTGGCTCTCTGTCGCTGCTGAGGTGGGTAGAGGCTGAGGTGGGTAGAGGCTGAGGTGCATGAGAGGGGTAATGTACGATGTTGGTTCAACCAGATAACACACGGTAAGGCGAGGGCTGGTGGGAGGGCATTAATGAAGGATAATGCGCACAGCGTTCCCAGGCTTGAGGCTCTCTCTTGATGCTAGCTGGCAACGGTGACTGCAGGATGAGGTGGGCTGCACTCACCATTGCCCACCCCGGAAGTGAATGTGTGAGGGGTATGCATGCCCCACTCCCAACGCTGCCTCGCCAAGGGAATTGGGGGGATTGTGCATCCTGGTTAGGCTGGTTTACTCACCTCACTCGCTCACCCCTCACTTTCTCACCTCACTTTCTCACCTCACCTCATCTTCTCACTTGCTCACCTCACTTGCTCGACTCACTTGCTCACCTCACTTGGTGACCTCCCTCCCTATTAAGCTACTGTGCGCTGCCCTCGCCCTCTCCTCTACTCTTTTCCCTGTGTCTTGAAAAGCAATTCCAAGTCTCCTATCTCGCCCTGCCAGGCATTGAGCCGCCCGCACTCTCGCATGAGTGCCGTGGCAATTCTGGGTCGACTGGTCGTGCATGTCTTGCTGTGCATTCTCCTCGCCCACTCCTTGCCTCTTCGCCTTGCACTGCACTGGCCCTACCTACACCTTCCACTACCCTCGTGTTCCTCCTCACAGCCAGGCCTGTATGTTCATCACCCGCACATGAATTGGGCGCACAGGCTGCTTAAGAGCACAGAGAGGAGGCAGAGAGGAAACAGCTGTGGCAGCAGGGGCAAAAAGGGGTAGGCGGAGCGGGAGGCAGTTGGTGGATGAGCGGTGGGGAGGGGAACAGAAGCGATGGTTGGACAGGAGGGGCCAGGGAGGTTGCTGTTTGAGTGGTGGGGGCGAAGGCACAGAGGGGCTTATGGAGAGCAGATGTATCAGGGCAGAGAGGGACAGACAGCACGTCCGCACCCAGCATGTGTGAGGTAATTGAGGATGAATGGAGATGAAGTAGACAGGTACAAGGGACCAGGCGAATCCTCTGTGGAGGATATTCAATTGACGGAGCTGAGGTCATTTGAGGCGCGCGATGGATCAGGTGGAAGGGGGACGAGGGAGGGAGAGGGAGGGCAGAGAGGAACTCTGCACCCTGCAACATGTGGGAGGTGGGTGAAACCGACGGCACTCTGGAGCATGCAGTATGGATTTGAGAATGCCCAGACACCGCCTATACAGCACCAGTTGGCACTGCTGTGCAAAGTACTCACTCCCGTTGCCGCCACGCTCCCACCACCATCTTATTTGCACCACCATGTCACTCCCACCACCACTTCTGACATGCAGGATAAAGATTCTGAAGGGGCACCAGGAAGTCTTGTCAACCATACTAAAGTGACGAACTCCTTTTCTGTTATTTTCTTTCCGTTTCTTTCCTTTTGCAACAAGTGGATGTCCACCGGGTAGGCTGCAGCCAAGACATGCTACAGTCATGGGGAGGGGGGAGCTTTTAGTACCAACCACCACCCAATGCAAACAGTTTGAGATGTGTGCTGCTTCGTAATGAAAAAACGTTAGAAGCGGTACCGTATGAGTAATTACGTAGTACCATGACGCTAGTTAAGTGCATATGTGTTGCAGCACGTGAAGGATTATTCGTTATTCTTGAAATGACACAAAACTCGGTTCATTGCTTGGAGTTTGTATAGGGAAATATAATTCTCAACTGTAGGCTTTCATTACCTTGTATGTTCCGAGGTGTTCGCGTCAGCTGGTTCGGCCTACGTCTGCGCCCGAACCACTTCTTAAAGCCCGGGGTCAGCATGG